ACACAGGGGAAGGGCTCACAGGGTTCAACCTGATCAGCAAGTGCAAAAGATAAGACCCCTATTAAAGCTAATTTGCTGAGATTTTCATTTTAGCAAAAACAAATGATCAGTTTTTTGGATGTCTCAAGTATGTTTGAAATTTATGTGTATTCTCTATGGTTGGGCACGAATTTATGAATGTATGTGTGTGTAAATAAATTTAAGTGTGTTGTTCAAATAGTTTATATCAGGGATCATCAAATTATGGTCTTCAAGCCAGATACAGCTGGCCACCTGTTTCTGGAGGTTAGTGTTTATTGGACACATCTGCAGGGCCTTGTGTCCGGGGCTGCTTCTGGGCTGTGGCAGTATCTGCCGGTCCTGCTCTGTACCATTGCTGGTGTTTTGTTATCTGACGACTCTGTTGAGTTTCTGGGCAGAATCTGCCAAAACCTGCCAAGTGATATAAGTTTGTCAGTTTCCATTAATTTCTTTCAGTGTTTGCTTTATATTATTCAAAATTATGTTCTTGTGTGTATAAGGTTAGGACTATTATTGCTGGGCCTGGTAGCTCACACCTGTAATCCCAGCACTTTGGGAGGCTGAGGCAGGTGGATCAACTGAGGTCAGGAGTTCGAGACTAGCCTGGCCAACATGATGACACTCCCCGTCTTTACCAAAAATACAAAAATTAGCTGGGTGTGGTGGCGTGGGCCTGTAATCCCAGCTACTCTGGAGGCTGAGGCAGGAGAATCCTTGAACCCAGGAGGAGGAGGTTGCAGTGAGCCAAGATGATACCATAGCACTGTAGCCTGGGTAACAAGAGTGAAAATCTGTCTCAAAAAAAAAAAAAAAAGAAAGAAAGAAAAAAAGGATAAGACTATTATACCTTGGTCACTTGCACACTAATCAATAAGAAATATTCTTCTTTTTCATTTAATCCATTTTCTTAGAATTCTTTGTTGTCTTGTATTAATATTGTTGTCCCTCATTCCTTTTGTATTGCTTTTCCTCTGGTCCTTTTTTCTAAACAGTGATGATACATAACTCAAAATGAATCATAGACCTAAATGCAAAACACAGTATTACTCCTAGATGGTAGCATAAGAGGAAATTTGATCATCTTGGTTTTGGTGATGACTTTTTAGATGCAACACCAAGGCACAATCCATAAAAAAAGAATTTGTAAGCTGGACTTCTTGAAAATTAAGCATTTCTGCTTTGTGAAAGATATTGTCAAGAGAATGAAAAGACAAGCTAAAGACTGGGAGAAAATGTTTACAAAAGAAATACCAGACAAAGGAGTGTTATCCAAAACATACAAAGAACTCTTAAAACTCAACAATAAGAACACAAACCAACCAATTAGAAAATGGGCCAAAGACCTGAACAGACATCTCATCAAAGAAGACACAGCAGGTGACAAATAAGCGTATCAGAAGATGCTCCACATCATAAGTCCTCAAGAAAATGCAAATTAAAACAACAATGAGATACCAGTACACACTTATGAGAATGGCCAAAATCTGGAACACCGACAACACCAAATGCTGAAGAAGGATGTGGAGCAACTGGAACTCTCATTCACTGACAGCAGGAACACAAAATAGTGCAGCCACTTTGGAAGACAGTTTGGTGCTTTCTTAAAAAACTAAACATGCTCTTACCATAGGATCCAGAAATCACACTCCTTGGGATTTACCCAAAAGAATTGCAAACTTATGTCCACACAAAAACCTGCATACAAATGTATATGAATATATTGCACAGTGGTGAAGTCCAGGTTTTTAATGTAGCCAACCTAAATAGCAAGCATTGTACCCACTAAGAAATGTCTCATCCTTCACCCACCGCCTGCCCTCCTGCCCTTCACAGTCTCCAGTGTCTATGATTCTACTCTCTACCTCCATCTGTATGCGTGATGTAGCTCCCAGTCACACGTGGAGGTGCACAGTATTTGACTTTCTGTTTCTGAGTAATTTCACTTAAAATAATAGCCTCCAGTTCCATCCATGTTGCTGTGAAAGGCATGATTTCATTCTTTATTCATAGCTGAGTAGTATTCCACTGTGTGTGTGTGTGTGTCTGTGTGTGTGTATCTTTTGCCACTAAAAGTAATATTGCCATCATATGGGGAAGTGGGAGAGGGAGAAACAGGGCCCCCTGGTTACATAAGTACTAATGGAGAAGGAAGTTGAAGAAATATGATGGGTGGAGAAAATAGGTCCCACCTAGGGAGACATCACATCAGCTCTATGGAGCCCCAGAGTGCTTAAGGGGCTGGCACTAAATGAACCTAGAGCTCTCTTGTACCCTAAAAGGAACATTGGAAGGGGTTAGCAGAAAATGTCCATGTCAGTGATTCATCATCTCCTTTTCCTCACCATGCCCCAGGGACTCCCATGCCTTCCCAATCCTCTTGCCCCTACCTGGGTCAGGCTTTCCACAGCAGGTTAGGGCACATTATAGCCAAGGGCACAGCTCCCAACTCCTACACAGGCTGTTTTGCATAGGAGGAGGAAAAACGTTGAAGACTGTCTGGGAAGTTAGTGCCATGGGGCAGGAAAGAACTTTTCCCACTCCCTGCCTCCAGGCTCATTCCACGGGGGGTCTCTCCGCCACCCAACCTAGATAGTGGGACCCTGACCCCAGTCCCCCCACCTGAGTCCAGGGCTTCTGTGAGGGGCTGACCGATGGTTAGCAATGAAGTAACCTTGCTTCCCTCACTGGACTCTGAGTTCCCGTAGGGCAGACCCTGATGTGACCCAAGACCTATAGCACAGGACACACGAGTAAGGATTTGATTTTGCCTCTTCTGTGTTCATATGATGATTTGCTGTGTTTACCAGCTGAGTAAACTTGGGAACATCTCAACTTCTCCTTTCCTAAAATAGAGATTGCAGCACCTGCCTCTTAGGACTATGAGGGTTGAGGAGGATGCAGGAGCAGCAGGTATCTTGATGTCTGGACATTAGAATGCTCAGTACCCGGTGGGGTCGTAGAACAGGCTGTCACAACAATTGTGTGGAAGGACTGAGAGAGGGAACAAACAAGACCATGCTACCTTCAGGAGTCTGAAACTCCATCCTCTTTGGATCCAGAGGCCCAGTGCTCTTTTCTCCCATTTCCTGACTTGCTACTACACATGCACTGGCTGCCTTACCCTCCAATCAAGGTTGAGCCAGGGAAGTCCCCAGGTGAGGTCTCTAGGGTGGGGTGGGACCTGGTGACCTGGCTCCCTGGTCAGAAACCCTGAGCACAGCCTCCTGGGTGTGTCCCACCCACCTGATGTGGGGCAAGGCTCCAAGAAACAGATGACAGAGGTGGCCCGAGGCCTCCCAGCCCCTGGGAAGAGCCAGGCTGAGCCTTATAAAGGGACTGCTCTTTTTCCAAACACACACATCTCACTCATCCTGCTCCTCGTGTCGCTTCCCAGCTCTGGTAAGTCTCACCTACCTCTTTGCGTTTTCTAGAAGTGCCCAGTGCCCAGTCTGCTGTGCTGCCTCTAGGAAGGGAAAGGGCTGTGGACGAAGACTCAGGAACCTGGGTCTAGGCCAGCTCTGCCATTAGCTGGGCTGTGTGACCTTCACTTGACACCAAAAGCCCACATCTGTACAACCAGGTGGCTGAACTAGACCTGTCGGTTGCTCCTTTGGGATCTCCTGAGACAGCTCCTGTGGAAATGTCCCCAGTGGGACCTGAGCACAGGACCTTCCCTGTCTTCTTCCTCCCTGGATTCATCCGCGTGTTGGGGTCCCAGCTGTTGAATCCCCTCCCCAGCTCTGCCCCCACAGAGGGTGGAGGGCTAAGGATCCCCTGTGAATGCTTTGGAGGCTCTCCAAACCCTAAGGCCTGGGACCCCGACACAGCAGAGCCCTGGCCAGATGGCTTGCCCTTACCTGGGTAAGGTATTGAGCAGCCAAAGCTCCCTCACTCCCTACCACAACCTGCAAATTCTCAGGCACCCTCTGGGCACAGGGCTTGGCGTCTAGCCTTGGCCTCAGAATCAAAAAAGCTTTGGGTGGCTCCTCTTAGTCAGTTGCCAGCATGGAGCTTTCTCCTGCGTTGAGAGGAGTTGGGGGTTTATTGTCAGACACCCACACGCGTTAGCCAAGGTCCTTTTCTGGTTCTTTGGAAAGTGTGGGAAGTGAGAGCTGCACTGTCCTATTTTTCAGGCTTGGGGTGCAGGCCAGCCCAGACTGACCACCAGCTGGACAATTTGCTTTGGGAAGTCAGACCTTCTTATTTAAACAGGGTCAAGCCTTGGTGATTCCGAGGGTGCAGATAATTCCCAAGAGCAGACATGAAGCGACAACCACCTCACTCCCATCCCATCCAGCAGCTTAAGAACCAGGGGGTTATGTCTGTTCCTTGTAACAGAGGCCATTCCCGTTTCTCATTCCCAGGGGAATGCAGGAAGGGCCCCCCTGTGCTCGGGACAGGGCTGTGTTTCCTGTTCACACTCACGTCCATCCTCACATGTGCACCTGGAGCCTGCATGCACCGTGTCATGCAGGGCTTTCACTCGAGTCAAGGTGGGGCCCATGGTGTCTGGTTCCTGAAGCAGCCCAGGAGGGTCGGAGACCAGATCACCAAGGCCATTGTCCTGCCCCCGTGACTCTCACCCCGGCTGTGAAGCTGGACGAGATGGATTTGGTGCTGTTTTAAGAGTGGGGTCTGCCATGTGCTGGCCGAGACTTGAGGGGTCCTAGCTCAGTTCTTCCATGTGTTGCTGGCCCCCGACTCTCTCTGCTTCTCCCTCTCCAAAGCTCTGCCCACAGCTGGACTTCCGCCATCCACCTGCATCTCCTCTTGGCCCTGGCCAGGGTGGGCCAGGTCTCAGACTTGGTCCTACCCTCTCATTTTTGAGCAACTTATCCCATCACATTTTTAAAAATCGAGTTCCTTCTGTTCCATTTTAGGGCTGTTTTTCCTCTGTCCTCAGCCCTCCTTCCAACACCCCCACATAGAGACCCTAACTTAAATGAAGGGAAAAAAATGATTGTCTTTATTTCCTGAAGCCTTTGTGAAAGCCAAGATGAGCAACACTCAAGCTGAGACGTCCATAATAGGCATGATCGACATGTTTCACAAATACACCAGACGTGATGACAAGATTGACAAGCCAAGCCTGCTGACGATGATGAAGGAGAACTTCCCCAACTTCCTCAGTGCCTGTGTGAGTCGGGGTTTAGCTTCTCAATGTCGGTTGGACGCTGGCATGGCTGAGGATACAGTTTGCTATGTGTCCTTGGACAGGTCACCCTCATCCTCTGATTTAAAAATTTCCCATTTGCAAATAAGGTTTTATTCCTTTGATCATATGGGAATCTAAGGATGATAGGCAAAAAAGTGTGAAAATAGGAAAGAGTTACACAGATATAAATGAAGTTATGAGATGGTCAGCAAAGTGTGCAGCTTGAGGGCGGTGCACAGTCCCCTCCCAGTGCTCACTGACCCCCTCTCTGTGAGACTAAATGCACGTGCTCAAGTCCTGCTTCCCAAAGGCCCCAGATCAACATCCCTGAGATTAATGGGAAAGCACTGGAAGTTCCATTGCTAGTAGAAATCAATAGCCCTCTTTGCAACAAACAAGACTCATTAGCAAATCTGAAAAAAATTGTGGGCTACTAGGTACCAAAGGGTCTAGATGACCAAGAGTAGGGAACCCAGAAGTTGAGTTTGGTGGAAAAAGAGAATAAAGGAGAGGAGGTCAGAGAAAGAAGAGAACAAAGAATGAGGGCCAATTTGGGGGCCCTGGGGTAGAACTAAGGTAGCCAGTGCCCTTAAAGGCTGGGGACAGGTGAGAGTGAGGCTGGGACAGGGGACTGCTCTCCCCAAGGTCACTAAACAGAGCACCTTCGGACAGGACCTGCCTCCCATCTGAGGTTTGAGACAAAAAGTCTCCCTAGAGAACTCCAGGGATAACATTCACATCCTCACCCCAACGTCACCCACTCACCCTGCACTCCCAGCCCTGCCACGATGCCTGTGCAGATCTAGGCATTTGTCTCTGTCTCTGCCTCCTCCTCTCCCCTCCCAGCCCGAAACTTGTTTGTGATTGAATTTTTCTTGTTTGTATGTTTTTCTCTTCACAGGACAAAAAGGGCATACATTACCTGACCAATGTCTTTGAGAGAAAGGACAAGAATGAGGATAAGAAGATTGATTTTTCTGAGTTTCTGTCCTTGCTGGGAGACATAGCCACAGACTACCACAAGCGGAGCCATGGAGGGGCACCCTGTTCCGGGGGAAGCCAGTGATCCAGCCCCACCCAGGGGCCTTCAGAGACCCCAGGAACAATAAAGTGTCTCCTCCCACCAGATACTTGCCTTATTTCCTTCTTCTGTTTGGTGACCTACATTGTCAAAACTGCCAATTCCAGGCTAACTTTGTTGGAGAATCCCCACCACCCCCATCCAGTGGGTCACCCAGGAGTAATGTCCCACAAGCAATGTTCTCTCTGTGGCCTCCAGCAGAGCTGAGCTGCCTCTCACACAGGTCCTGGTGTCGGCCTCTGCCCCACTCCCTAAATGCAGCCACCACAGCAGGTTACAGGTGGAAGCTGGTAGAAGGCCTCTGCCAGGTCATAGCAATGCCCCTCCTTGTCAAGGCATGGACCAGGTCATTCGGATGTATTTAGATACTGCACTGAGAAGGAGCTGGCATCTCTCAGTGTGCTCCTGCCCTCCCGCTCCCGCCCTAGCTGTTCTCCAGGGCTTGGGGAAACAGAAACCACTCACATAGGGATTCCTGGATGGCATCAGGCTCAGGGCCCTTGTGACTACGAATGGGAGGCTCAGTAGTTCACTGAGTATGGGTTCCCTTGTCCTGTGGCCTGGGCTCCAAGGTCTGTGTCCTCTCCCTGTGCTGTGTGCTTGTGTTCATGTGCCTATGTGGGTGACCCTGTGAAAGTGAGAGGGAGTCACTGTGATGCTTAGCTGTCCTCCATGATGGTTTGCTAAATGTCAGGACTGGGTTTCTGATGATGAATCAATACTCCAGATATTGAGGAGCTCAAAGTAGTCCAGGAGTCCAAATAAGGAGTCTGGCCAGAATAAGGCAGCACCAAGGAAATGCCCTAAGGACTGACACAGAGAGCTCATGCTGATTGTGATGAGAAATTGCAGCGCCTCTATCTGGCGGGTAATGAGTAGTTTGTTATTGGTAGTCTACTCCAGGCCAGGCACTGTGCTGTGGGCTGAGGATGCAGAAACAAGCAGGACACAGTGCTGTCCTAGCAGAGCGCTGGCGGGTCTCTCCATACAGGCCACAACACAGGGTTAATGTTCACCCAGTGCCACTTCCAGGCCATGTTCCGTGCAGCTGCTCTTAGTATTCCTCCTTCTCTCTTACCACCCTGGTTAGTCTGCTGCTAACCTGTCAGTCAGGCAAACATTCTTCTTGGAGGAATCAGGCAACCATCTCAAAAATTCTCTTTCCATCCGACCAGCAGAAGTGTGTAGGATGCGTTATTTGCTCTTGTGAATGACTGCTGCACTCCACACTCACACCTCTGTTCACAGACCAGCATCTCCTCTCCTCACCAGGAATCTTCCTTCCTGAACATATTCTGCACCTCACCAGCATTCAGGACTGATCTGCAGTTTTCACCTCCAAATCCCAATGTCTGACCATTAGGTTTCTTCTCTCTCCTTCTCCCCCTTTCTCATTCTTATTCCACCTGTTCTTGGAACTCACAGAGACCTGCAGTCCCTGGGATTTCATTTTCTCTTCCCAGTCCCCTGCTGCCTTCTCTACACAGCCTGCCCCCCATCATCCACCCCAGAATTGCTCTCTTTCCTCTCTTAGCTCTGTTGCCCACTTTCCTTGGGCCACACCTTCCCTGCAGATCTCCAGCCTAGAACCATCTTCCCCATTTTCCTCCTCTCTCCTCCACCAGGACTGCTGGTCACTGCCCAGAACCGTCATGCCAGGGTCCCAAGGGCAGGTGCCTGACTTCCTGTCTGCCCAGCACTCTCTGAATCCCTCCTGTTCACCCAGCTGCTGTTATTCCAAGTATGCGCAACACATCCCCCGTCAGTATATCTCAGTATTTCATGCCTCTATAGCAGTCTTTCAAATGCTGCCTCTGCCAGAAATGTCTTGTAGTACTTCATCCGTCTCATTCACGTTACATTTCAAGACTGAGCTTTTTATCAATGTCTCTTAGACATTTAGAAGGTGAACCACCATCCCTTCACCCCAAAGAAATGATCTCTGCCTCATTTGCACCTCCCTCACCCTCACCCCGCTCCTACCATAGTGGCTGCATTACCTCAGATTCCCCTTGTGTCTTTCCATCCAGACTTGGAATCATGGGGGGAAAACACTGTTACCTCAGATCTCCTGGTTACCCAGCACACAGCAGTACTGGATCCCAGCTCATAATAAGTACTCTATATTATTTTTTATTATAAAATACTTTTGTGCAAATTCTGGTCAATACCACTTCATGTAAACAGCAGTGCAAAATCTAAAAACTTCCAGCTTAGGAGGCAGCCTGTGCGGCTTAGGAGAGGACTCCAGAATGTGGAACCCAGAATCTGGAACTAGGCCAAAAAGAATAATGCAAATGACTGAAGAGCTTGACTCAAGCCTTGATCTCCGAAAAGAAGAGAGGGTCTCCCTGGGGTGCGGTTACTGGACTTTCAAGTCCATTTCTAAAGTCCAGAAGGCAACTGGCCATCCCTAATGTGGGCCTGCCTTCCCTTTATATTTATTTATTTATTTATTATTATACTTTAAGTTCTAGGGTACATGTGCACAGCGTGCAGGTTTGTTACATATGTATACATGTGCCAGCCAAGTTTGGTACGGCTGGCACTCATTAATTCATCATTTACATTCAGGTATATCTCCTAATGCTATCCCTTCCCCTACCCCCAACCCCACGACCAGGCCCCGGTGTGTGATGCTCCCCTTCCTGGTGTCCAAGTGTTCTATTGTTCAGTTCCCACCTATGAGTGAGAACATGGGGTGTTTGGTTTTCTATTCTT